GCAGAGAGATCAATGGAAAGAACACAGAGCCCAGCAATCAACCCATGCCTTTACGGTCAATTAATATTTAACAAAAGAGGCAAGAACATAACAATAGGGGGAAAAACAGTCTCTTCAATAAATGGTGTTGGGAAATTTGGATAGGTACATGAAAAAAATGAAACTAGACCACCAACTGACACCATACACAAGAATAAACTCAAAATAGATAAAAGACTTCAATATAAGTTGTGAGACCATAAAACCATAAAGTATAGAAGAAAAGATAGGCAATAAAATCTCAGACATTTCTTATACCAATATTTTTGCCAATATTATCTCCTAGGGCCAGGGAAATAAAGGGAACAATTTAAAAACGGAACTACCACAAACTAAAAAGCTTCTGCACAGCAAAGGAAACCATCAACAAAATGCAAAGGGAACCCACTGTATGAAAGAACATATCTGTCAAGGATACATCTGATAAGGGGTTAATTTTCAAAATATATAAAGAACTTATACAATCAATTAATATTTAACAAAAGAGGCAAGAACATAACAATAGGGGGAAAAACAGTCTCTTCAATAAATGGTGTTGGGAAATTTGGATAGGTACATGGAAAAAAATGAAACTAGACCACCAACTGACACCATACACAAGAATAAACTCAAAATAGATAAAAGACTTCAATATAAGTTGTGAGACCATAAAACCATAAAGTATAGAAGAAAAGATAGGCAATAAAATCTCAGACATTTCTTATACCAATATTTTTGCCAATATTATCTCCTAGGGCCAGGGAAATAAAGGGAACAAGAGGGCCAGGGAAATAAAGGTAACAATTTAAAAACGGAACTACCACAAACTAAAAAGCTTCTGCACAGCAAAGGAAACCATCAACAAAATGCAAAGGGAACCCACTGTATGAAAGAACATATCTGTCAAGGATACATCTGATAAGGGGTTAATTTTCAAAATATATAAAGAACTTATACAACTCAACACCAGGAAGATAAACAATCTAATTTAAAAATTGGCAACGAACCTGAATAGACACTTCTCCAATGAGGACATTTAGATGGCTAATAGACATATGAAAAAATGCTCAACATCACAAATCCTCAGAGATTTGCAAATTAAAACCATAATGAGGTATCACTTCACATCTGCCAGAATGGCTACCATGAATAAACCAACAAACAAGTGTTGACGAGGATGTGGATAAGAGGGAACCCTTGTGTACTGTTGGTGGGAATGCAGACTAGTGCTGTCACTGTGGAAAACAATATGGAGTTTCCTCAAAAAATTAAAAATGGAACTGCCTCTTGACCCAGAGACCTCATTTTTGGGAATCTATCCTAGTAATTCTGAAACACCAATTCCACCAAATATATGCATGCCTATATTCATAGCAACATTATTTATAATAGCCAAGATCTGAAAATAGCCCAAGTGCCCATCAGTAGAGGAGTGAATAAAAAGTTGTGGTACATTTATAAAATGGAATACTACACATTGGTAAAAAAAAAAAAAAAAAAAAAGGAAATCTTACCCTTTGTGGCAGAATGGATGAACCTGGAGATTATTATGCTAAGTGATATAAATCTGTCAGAGAAAGATAAGTACCATATAATCTCACTTATATGTGGAATTTAACAAAAGTAAACTGTCAAACAAAATAGAAAAAGAGGCATGGATACATGGAATAGACTGACAGTTGTCAGAGAAGAGGGGGGAGGAAGTACTGGATAAAAGGTAAAGAGATTAGCCAAAGAACATATAAGCATAACCCACAGACACAGGTAACAGCGTGGTGATTGTCAGAGAAAGGGCAGGGGGCAGGGGCTGGGTGAGGTAGGTGAAGGGGATGAAATGGGGACATATGTAATAGTGTCAATAAATTAAGAAAGCTAAACGGATCCAAATGTTGGAGAGGCAGGGGGCGGTAAAATCGCTTCTCACCTTTCCATTGGGAAAGAACCATGCTTTAAAGGTTGGGCAAAAATGTCTGAAAAAACTAAATTTATTTTGAGGTGCAGAAAAAAAGCAGGCTCAAACAACTTTAAAATGCAACTTGATTTCCCCCTTGGAATTATTGATCATTACTCATTTGTTTGTTACCTATTATTTAAATCACTACAGCTGAACTTGGATTTTTATATGAAGTTTGTCAAATTTTAGTTATAAAAATTCAGGGAAGGAAGAACCTCAGATATTAGTTGAGAAACAGAATAAGGTAGGAAGCAAACTTTTCATAATGGGCTATATAGTAAACATCTTAGGCTAGGTGGGACTAAAGAAAAACTTACTTCTCACTGTGTCTCCTTTAATGCCATACTTAATACTTCTTCTTATCTTTAAAATTGATTTTAAGAGAGAGGAAGGGAGAGGGAAGAAGGAGGAGGGGGAGGAGGAGGAGAGAAACATCAATTTGTTATTCCACTTATTTATGCATTCATTGGTTGATTCCTGTATGTGCCCTGACCAGGGACCGAATGGCAACCTTGGCATATTGGGATAATACTCTAACCAACTGAGCAACCTGGCCTAGGCCAGTACTTCACTTATGATACTCTAGCCACAGATGTGTGTGTTTGTGTGTGTGTGTAGAGGGATTCCCACTACACCAAACAACTATCAGATTTTCTGGATATCAGCTGGGTGTCCTACAATTTAACTCAGTCTGACACTACCTACCCAGACATAGCATCTCTGACAGGTTATGGGCTTAGTACCAAAAGACTGCTTCCTCTCCTCCCTCCCCCCCAGCCAGATGAAGAAACACACAGGGCTGGGTCCAGAAGTGTCCTGAGCACAGGAGCTTCTGTCCTGTTGAGTTTGGAGCATGTCACCCTTCCAGCCCTTACAGGCGTTCTTATTCACCAACCCAGAAGTTCTCCAAACTCCATTCTTTTAGGATTTTGTGGAGGCCTCATTATATAGGCGCAACCAGTTCAATCATGGGTCATTGGAGATTGATTCACCCTCCAACACCTCTCCCCCACCAGCTGAGATATAACTGACATATAACATTGTGCCAATTTAAAGTGTACAACGTGTTGATTTGATATACTTACATATTGCAAAATGATTGCCATAATAGCATTAGATAACATCACCATACATCTCATAAATGCCTTTTTTAATGTGTGTGGTAGTGAGAACACTTAGGATCTACTCTCTTAGCAACTTTCCAACCCACTAATCACAGGTTGGTCCTTACGGAAATCAGACACTTAGTCAAGAGTTGTGTCCCAGGAAGTAGGGACAAAGACCAAATAATTGTTATTGTATCATAGAGACAATAACAATTGTTCACCAACCCAGAAGTTTTCCAAATTCCATTCTTTTAGGATTTTATGGAGGCCTCAGTTTCTAGCCCCTCATTCATACAAGCTTTCTCCCCACCACATTCTTAAAGATTACGTAGAACATACCTCAGAAAATAGGTACTTCTGCTTAGAAAGACTGTTCCCTTCCTGAAGCTGGCTTTTAGTTGGTACGGAAATAGCTTCAAACCCAAGAAAGCATTGATTGAAGGATCTGTATTCAGAACTTCTGCTGCCGGTAATTGTAGATTGGGAAATTTGGACCAACCCTCCAGCTGAAGATAATGAAGTCTGATGTCATGTACATTAAAAAGTGTAACTTAAAGCACCAAAGATTTCAATGCTAGTAAGAAGTCACTGCAGTGGAATCTCCAAAAGTTGAGCCCTGGCTGGGTACCTCGGTTGGTCGGGATATTGTTCTGATGGACCAAGGTTTGGCGTTTAATCCTCAGAAAATCTGGTCTGAGCACATGCAGGAATCAACCAGTGATTCCTGGGTGGAACAACAAATTGATGTGTGTGTTTCTCTTTCTCTCTTGCGCGCTCTCTCTAACTCTCTCTCACACTTCCTCTCTCTATCTAAAAAAAAGAAAAATAAAGTTGAACCCATAGACCCAGGCGCAGGTGGTAGGGAAAATGGGAAGATGTTTGTCAAAGGTACAAACTTCCAGTTAGAGATGAATAAGTTCTGGGGGTGTACTGTCTATAGCAGGGGTGGGCAAACTTTTTGACTTGAGGGCCACAATCGGTTCTTAAACTGGACCAGAGGGCCGGAACAAAAGCATGGATGGAGTGTTTATGTGAACTAATATAAATTCAAAGTAAACATCATTACATAAAAGAGTACAGTCTTTTTTTTTTAGTTTTATTCATTTCAAACGGGCCGGATCTGGCCCGCGGGCTGTAGTTTGCCCATGGTTGGCCTACAGTATGGTTACTATCCTATATAATAAAAGCCTAATATGCTAAGTGTCTGGTCGTCCATTCAACCAATCAAAGTGTAATATGCTAATAATATGCTAAGGCCTCTCAACCACTAGCTATGATGTGCACTGACCACCAGAGGGCAGATGCTCGAACCGGTAGGTTAGTTTGCTGCTGGGGTCTGGCCAATCAGGACTGAGTGAGACGAGCCAGACATACCCTGGAGCCCTCCTGTGGTCCCTCCCCAGCTGGCCAACCTCTCGTGTCTCTCCTCGGCCCTGATTATGCGTTGGTGGGGTCCCTCTGCCTGGCCTGTACCCTCTTGCAATCTGGGACCCCTTGGGGGATGTCGGAGAGTCAGTTTCGGCCCGATCCCGCAGGCCAGGCTGAGGGACCCCACTGGTGCATGAATTTGAGCACCGAGCCTCTACTAATTAATAATACTGCATTGTGTACTTGAAAGTTGCTAACAGAGTAGATCCTAAATGTCTCTCCCTAAAAATAAAAGGTGATCATGAGATGTGTGGCGGTATTAGCTAATGCCATGGTGGTAATACTTTTGAAATACACCTTAAATTTACACATGTTATATGTCAGTTATCTCTCAATAAAGCTGGGGGGAAATGGGGACTGGGAAGGCCAAATGGTGGAATATTACTGCCTGGAGACTAGGAGAGGATAGCGCTCCAGGCAGGTGAGCCAGATACTCTGGCTGAATTCTTCCTTGAGGTGGTCTAGAAGAGGCAGCTGAGTGACTAATATGAGCTTTAGGTGTCTGCAGACTCAGGAATGAAGGGTATCTTGGGTTGATACCCCAGAGGAATATTTCTTAGAAACAGAGGAGAACTGGAAGCAATCCAATGGGTGTATGGACTACAGCCTGGTTTCCCCCCACCTGGAAGGACCAGAAAAAGCTCATGTACTTACAGAACATTACTATCAGACAAAGTAGACTTTAATGCAAAAACATATGCAGAGATAACAAAGGTAACTTTATAAACATAAAAGATTCCAGGCACCAGGAAGACATAACAATCTTGAATATTTGTACTCAATGGCCCATTGATTGAACTACAAGCAGAAGTAGACAAATTCAGTACCACTCTGAGTGATTTTAACATACTTCACTCCATAAATGATACAATAAGAAGACAAAAAAATCAGTCAAAATAAATAAGCTTTAAACATGATTTAAAAACTTGACTTATATCGAAACTTGGATATATATAGAAAATGCACTGGGTTGACAGAATTTCATATTTATCAAAATATGACATTTATTTTTCATGACAGACTATGTTCTAAGTTTGACCACAAGTGCTACAAAGGCAAGTCTCAATAAATTTCAAAGGATTAAAATTATACAGGGTATTCACAATGCAATATATTATAAATCAATAACAAAAGCATAAGGAGATCCTACATATACCTGGACATTATGAAATGCACTTTTATGTAACTCATGGATTAAACAAAAAATCTCAGTAGAATCTACTCAAATTTATTTCTCTGTTTAGATTCTAGCACAAAGGAGAACAAAATAAAGAAAAAGATGATGATGACTCAAAGGGGAGGGTGAAATGAGAATTTATTTAATCAATATTTTAATGTGGAGGCAAATGAGTTTTTACTACAAGTTCACTAACATCCAATAATTATTCATTAAATTTTACTAGTACTTAATAGAAACATATATATTAAATTATCTCACATATCCCAATATATGAGAAATATTCCCAATATCACTATTAAGTGTGTGATTAATATTACCCTGCCTATTTTGTAGATGGTGAACTGAACTCAGAGTTAAGTTAGCTGATAAATGACAAGTAGTAAAACACAGAACAGCAGGATTTAATACAAAGCTATTTGACTAGAAAGTCCATGATTAACCACTTTGCTAGAAGAATTGAATTATGGAAGAGTGATGATTTCTGGCATACCCAGTATTTCATGCCCTTTGACTCATCTAGAAGCTCACACCCAAGGCAAATGACAGAATCATGAAAAGGAACCTGTTCTAGAGATGAACTTCCTTAAAGCTCCCTTTATGTCTCTATTCCTCAGGCTGTAGATGAAGGGGTTCATCATGGGAATGACTACTGTGTACATCACTGAGGCCACTGCCCTGCTCCTGGAGGGGAGAGAGGATACAGAACTAAAGTAGACTCCAACACAAGTCCCATAGAACAAGAAAACAACAGTAAGGTGAGACCCACAGGTGGCAAAAGCTTTATACTTTCCACCAGCTGATGGGATTCCCAGGACTCCATCAGACTGGGGAGCAGGGCATTTATAAAGCTAATGAGCAAGGAAAGAAGAACCAGCAGACCACAACGGCAAGGGTTCATGATGACCGTGTAATACAGAGGGTGGCAGATGGCCACGTAGCGGTCATAAGCCATCACAGTGAGGAGCAAATTGTCCATACACATAAAAAAAAGGAAAAAGTAGACCTGAGTGAGGCAGCCTGCGTAGGTGATGGCCTTGTTTCCTGTCTGGATGTTCACCAGCATCTTGGGGACTATCGTGGAGGTGAAGCAGATGTCAACAAAGGACAGGTTGGAGAGGAAGAAGTACATGGGAGTGTGGAGGTGGCAGTCAGAGCTGACCCCTAGGATGATGAGCAGGTTTCCAAGCACAGTGACCAGGTACATGGTCATAAACAGCCCGAAGAGAAGGGGCTGTAGCTCTGGGTCCTCTGAGAGGCCCACCAGGAGGAATTCTGCTACATCTGTTTGATTTTCTGACTCCATGTTATGGATGAGTCTGCAGGAAAATAGAGGCATGAGTTACAATGAAACAGACATCACTTGTTTGACACGAGTCGTTGAGCTGTGCCTTAAATTCTAGTAATATTTAAACAATTCTCCCCTTCAGGTTTCTCTACTCATTCCTTCCTTCACCAAGTAATTTTTGAGTGACTTGTATGCATCATGTATTTTTTCCAATGGTATAATTAAAAAAAATGAAAACAAGCGCTGTTTTATTTTATTAAGGAACTATCATGGCCACATGCCATTTTAAAATCTAGGATTAAATTCTAGTAGTTTCTTCTTACGGCACCAAACCTGGTTAGATGACTTAATTTTCTCAGAGAATAGTACTGCCCTCCAAGCACTCTTTTATTAAAAATTGATTTTAGAGAGAGGGAGGGAGAGAGAGAGAAAGAGAGAAATATAGATTTGTTGTTCCACTTATTTATGCATTCTTTGGTTGTTTCTTGTATGTGGCCTGACTGGGGATCGAACAAACAACCTTGGTGTATCAGGATGACGCTCTAACCAACCGAGCTATGCAGCAGGGCTCCTCCGAGCACTCTTGAGTGCATTCAAACCCTAGCATCTTTGCGGAGAAATCTTCCCAAGGAACCAGTGAAGGTCCAGCACATCCTCGTGGATCGCTTCAGGGGCATTCTATCCCATAAACGCCCTGTGGTATTAAGTACTTTTCCATTATTGTCTAGCCATCACCACCACCTAACTCCACAACTCTTTTCATCTTGCAAAACTAAAACACTAAGTCCCCATTCTGCCCTCCCCCTAGGCCCCGGCAACCTGTATTCTGACTGCTGTATATCACATAAGTGGAATCAGACAGTGTTATTATTTCTGTAATTGGTCTGACTGTCAAAGTCCTCACTCTGGCAGCCAGGTTCCTACATCATCTGGCCCCTGTAATAGTTACACATGAGGTGATGTCCTTTCAGCAATCGCCGCCTCCTAAAACTAACACTGCACATTGTGGCTGAGTCAATACATTGTTAAGTGTGAATCATTCTAAGAGCTGGTATGCAAATACCAGCACAAAACATTATGGATGAAAATGTGTCATTTTCTGTTTTAGACAAAACTGAACTAATCATTTCAGGATGTGTGCTTTGGAAAGACATTCTTTTTTATTTATTATTATTTAGTAGGGAGCACATGTTCTTAGCATAAGTGAAGGAAGACTGGAGTGCATGGAGTGTTGAGAAAGCAAAGGAGATAAGTGAGCATTTTTTTTCTGCCCTTGTACTGGAGGGAGAGGGAGAGAACTGCTGAACTAACCCAAAAAACATTCAGCCACTTTACAGGTCCACAGCTCAAACGATGGTTTCTGAGGGAGGAAAGACATAGTCTATTGATGAGAGAAAGAAAAGAGGTTGAGCAATGTTCATAGGACATTTGTGTCCCTCAAATGAATAGGATGCTTTGTGCATTAGATAAGATAGGGTCTCACTACTAGGGGCTTAGTGGATATTTTAGAAATATCAGCTATAATTATTGCCATTGCTATTATTATTTTTTAATAACAACATAATTGCTATAGGAGGCTGTGTGGAAACTGTTGAGATTGGTTTAGGATATTTCTTTTCCCTTCCCTGTCCTGATACACGGGCTGTTACCTGTTTCATCAGTCACTATTCCGAAAACATGAGTGGAGGTTATTTATTATACACTTGGAAATTTTAAAATTCAAGATAGAGACTTTATAATTTTTCTGTGCTAGAATGTTAAAAAGTTCCTCAAATAATTAAAATTGGATTACTATATGCTCCAACAATGCCACATCTGAGTATATATCCAAAAGAAGTGAAAGCAGGGTCTCAAAGAGATATTTATACACATGTTCACAGCAGCATCATTTACAGCAGCTGAAAGATGGAAGCAACCCAAATGCATACTGAAGATGATTGGGTGAGCAAAATGTGGACTATACATAAATATTTTCAGCCTTAAAGAGAAAGGAAGTTCTGCACTAGACTGATAGCTTAGTTGTTGGAAGCACCATCCACATGCACCAGGGTTTTGGGTTTGATCTCCGGTGAGTGCACTTACAGGAAGCAACCAATGAATGCATAAATAGGTGAAATCACAAATTTCTCTCTCTCTCCCTCTCTTTCTCTCTAAAATCAATAAATAAAAATTAAAAAAGAAAGGAAATTCTGACACAGGCTACAACATGGATGAACCTTGAAAACATTATGCTACATGAAATAGACCAATTACAGAAAGACTAACACTGTCTGATTCCACTTGTGTGATATACAGCAGTCAAATTCATAAATGCAAGGTTGCCGGGGCCTAGGGGGAGGGCAGAATGGGGACTTAGTGTTTTAGTTTTGCAAGATGAAAAGAGTTGTGGAGTTAGGCGGTGGTGGTGGCTACACAATAATGGGAAGGTACTTAATACCACAGAACTGTCACTTCAAAATGGATGAAATGGTAACATAACATAACATAAAATTTTATGTTATGTCCATTTTTCCATGATTGAAAAGTCAATTAGTTAATTAAAAAATGAATGAGCTTTTCTGGTTTGCTTTCGTCATTCTCCTGTCCTTCAGGGTGCTTTGAGAAATCACACGCCCCTCACACTTCATGGATATTCTTAGGGACACGGCCCCATCCTCACTTCTTTTTCACCCTCCTCCCTCAGCCAGGGAATCCTTCAGATCGTGGATTATTCAACATCATTTGTGGAAACTCAGATCTTACCGCCTCCTGTTCTTGGTAGGATCACATCTGCATTCAGTTTAGAAAGCACTCGGTGAGTGCTGTCTCCTGGGAGAACCCATGGCATATGCAAGGCTTAGATCTTCACCTCCTCTGTGCCCCCATTCTGCTTCAGGATCCTGGAAGTCTGATCCTTGGGCCTTTCCAAAGAGGCCAAAGGGGTTACTGGGTGGGTGGGTCTCTGAGGGCCTCCCAATTATTCTTAGGGATGAAGCAGTAGGGACCATCCATAGGGAGCCCTAGGGTCAGGGCTGAGAAGAGAATGAGCATCTCAGAGCTCTCAACATCCAGCTTTCATGCTCCACAAACCAGTGGGAAAAATAGACAAAGGCTGGCACATGGATTATTCTCAGGGAAGACAACAATCACTTTGGCTCTGTGGCTGCCAGACTTCCGTGTACATCAGAATCACCCAAAGGGCTAAAACCCAGATGTCTAGGACCAACTCAAGAGTTGCTGACTGATCTGGGGTAGGGCCCAAGAGAAGCATAGTGACCTCTGTTTTGTGAAAACTGCTGTTTGAAATTTCCACTAGACATAGAAGGTTCTTTGTTCTGTGAATTAATTCTGCTATTATTGGCTTCTGTAAAACATGCTTGCTCTAATGATAGGGGAAATAAGCTTAACTGTCTGACCTTGCAAGCTGCTCCCCTGCCGTCCCTAGCTACCCCCATAACAGGTGTCTTCTAGTTATCTGTACTCAAGGCTACCGAACTGCACTCATGCCTACAGGCTTCCTGCGAGATATCTGTTTAGCATACATAAGGCTCTTTTGAAACTTGCAAAAGGGACCAGAAGTCCCATATTTAGGAGACACAGACATTAGAAACGTATAAAGGGAAAACTTCCTCCATGATTGCGTTGCTCAGACTCTGGAAGCATTCCTCTGGGCCCGCTAGCGTAATAAAAGACTCCAAATTAATTGGCTTATTAAGGCGTCCTATGTTCAGCTTGATGATTTACAATATAACACAAGAATTGTCATTTCTAACAAGTACCCAGATGATGTGGAGACTGCTGGGGACAGGGCACCACACTTTGAGAACCACTGCTGTAGAAATTTCTGAGGCATGATGTAGGATTCAGCCACACCTGAATTTAAATCCTGTGCAGAGCCAAGGAAGAAAATCCTTAAATAGGCTTGAGCTTTTTGTTTTCTCTTATCTGTGTCATGAGAATGAGAATACAGTACCGACATTCCAGGAATGCACTTGAAAGAAAAAATAAACACGCAGCAGAGTGTGTGCACATTATTTACATTATTTATATCACTATTATAGGACCTGAGAGGATCTTCCCCTAGAAGGGTGTGTGTTTGAGGGGATAAGGGGAAAGGAAAGGAAGATAGAGAAGGAGGAGGAGGAAGAGAAGAAGGAGAAAGGGGAGAAGGAGGAAGCAAAAAGAGAGAACATCCATGAGACATCTGTGAGATGTGAGGAAAGAGGAATAGTTTGAAAATTCCATGAGGACCCTTGATCACATCAAGAAGCAAGTTGATAAGGAGACCGACCTTCTTCCCTTGAATCTCAGTGTCGCTTCTGAAGGATTGAGTTTCAAACCAGCATTGTGAGGACAGAGCAGCACAAGTCCTCTCCTGGCCTTTCTGGGAAATAAAGGGGTGCATCAGAGGAGCCTGGAATCCTTAGAAATTTTTAGAAATATTGATTCCCCTGAGAAGAGAATTGGTTTCTGCATTTTAGGGTCAGAGAAAGGGGCCGGTGGAGCCAGAAACAATTGCAAATGTGGTGCCAGTGGACTTGGAACTATGCCAAGTCGTTAATGAAAAATCAGGGGTGCCTTTAGACAGCATTTCTCAAGCTTGACCATGCATCAGAGCCACCTGGCGGGTTTCTTAAAACACAGATTATGGCTCTGGCCGGTGTAGCTCAATTGGTAAGCATCCCTCTAATACACTAAGGTTGCAGGTTCAATCCCCTATCAGGGCACATACAAGTATCAACCAATGAATGCATAAATAAGTGGAACAAGTAATCAATGTCTCTCTCCTCTCTCTCTCTCTCTCTCTCTCTCTCCTCTCCCCTTCCCCTTTTTCTCTCTTTGAAATCAATCAACAAATAAAAATTAAAATTTAAATAACAAACACAGATTGTTGGGCCCCACCCCAGAGTTTTAGCACATGTAGGAGAGGCCTGAGAAATTACATTTCCAAGAACTCCTCAGGTAATGCTGATTACGGCTGGATGGCTGGGCTGCTTAATTTTCAGGTTCCAGTGCAAAATAAAAAACGAGGGACCCCTTGTTCAAAAATTTCAAGACAG